TTTTTTGATTTCTTTCTCTCCTTTTTCTTTGTATATATATTGAGATGGATGCTTAACACACTAAATTTTCAATTGTCATCATTGCTGACAGAGACTTTCTCCATCTAAGCACTACTTTAACTGCTTCCCCCAAGTGTTCATTATTGTTCAGTTAAGATATTTTAAAATATTTTCTGTTTGTCTTCTTCGACACATCAGTTATTTCTGAATGTTGTGTCTTGGTTTCCAAATATACTGAGATGTCCAATTAATTTCTGCTATTGATTTGAAATTTATTTACATTATGATCAAATTTCAATTACTTGAAATATGTCGGGGCTTCCTTTTAGTCCTAGTATGTGGTCAAAGTTTGTAAATGTTCTATATATGTGTGCTGTAATATGTGGTTACAGTGTTCCATACATTAGCAATTAGCTTAAGTTATGAGTCATACAGTTCAAAAATGCTGTATCTATAGAGACATTTTTGTCTCCTGATCAGCTGTGAGAGGTGTGATAAGACCTCCCACTGTGATTGAATATTCACTTCTTTTTCTTTTGGTATGCTAATTTCTCCTTTACATATTTTGAGGTTTTGGTGTTAAGTGTATAATCATTTGAATTCATTAAGCTTCCTGGTGAATTAATCCTTTTGCTATGAAATAACCTTCATTATCTCTAATAATATTTTCTGCTTTAAGTGACCTGTTATTGATATGATTATTGCTACACAAGTTTTCTGTCCATTATATATTATTTGCATGGTTTTTCTTTCTCTTTTTACTGCCAGCCTATCTGTAACTTTATATTTCATATGTGTCTGTTTTAAACAGTACAAATTTGCTTTTATTAATCCCTCTTGATGATGGTTGGAGATTTTTTTGTTGCTGATTTTTTGTTGCTATTTGTTTTGTGTGTGTGCATGCATATATGCTCATATGTAGGTACATATGAGGGAGTACACATGTACATGAATATGTGTGTGTGTGGAGATCAGAGGTTGATGCCAGATGTCTTTTTCAATTGCTTTCTGCCTTATTTTTGAGATAGCCTCTAAATGAACCTGGAACTCATTGATTTTGTTACACTGACTGGCCAGCAAACCCCAGGGATCCTTCTGTCTCTGCTTTCCCAGTGACAGGATTACAGGCATGCACTGCCAGGCCTTGTTTTTTGTTTGTTTGTTTGTTTGTTTGTTTGTTTTTTACCATGTGGGTTCTGGGAATCACGCTCAGGTCCTCATGCTTTTGTGGCAAACACGTTACTGACAGAACCATCTCCCCAGTCCCAATATTTGTTTGGGGGGGTTTTTTGGTCTGTTTGAGACAGAGTCTTCCTATAGCCCCAGCTGGCCCGGAACTCGCTATGTAGACCAGGCTGGCCTTGAACTCACAGAGATCAACCTGCCTCTGCCTCCCAAGTGCTGGAACTAAGGGCATGCGCCACCATGCCCATTGTTTGTTAACTTGTGCATTTAGTTTAAAAATCTTTAATGAAATGATTGCTATGTTTGTGATGAAAGCTATCATTTTATTTTGTGTTTTTATTCATCCTACCCATATTTCTTTTACTTTTCCTAGCCTGAGAAAAAAATTAATTGAGCTGTGGATGTAGCTCAGCAGTAGACTCCATGCTTACTTAGCATGTGCATGTGTGAGGCCCTGGGTTCAATCACCAGCACCAATATAAACAAATGGCATCAAAATTGGCAAAATTTATTGTTAATTATTCAAAATTTCTCCCTCCCTCTACTAATTTACATCCTTTTGCTATGATTTTAATAGTTATATCCCACTAATTGGCACACATGTAATTACCTTATCAAAGTGTAAGGTCTAGAAATAACCAGAGTCACTTCTGATATGAAACAATATTCTTAGAAAAGTTGAATTTTATTTATGCCCTTCCTGATTGCTTTCCATGCTATATGATAATTTATTTTTTAAAATCAGAATAGGGGGATGGAAAGATGGCTCAGCAGTTAAAAGCACTGGCTACTCTTGCAGAGGACCCAGGTTTGGTTCCCCGTGCCCACATGGTGGCTCACAACTGTCTGTAACTCCAGTTCCAGGGGATCCAATGCCCTCTTCTGAACTCCACAGGCATTGCATGACACAGGTACACTTAGTATACATGCAGGCAATACATTCAGATGCATAAAATAAAAAATGTTAAATAGATAAATATTAAATCAGAATAAGTATTTTTTGCATTTTTGCAAATTTCATACAATATATTTTGATCATATTTAGATCTCCCTCCATATCTGCACTGCCTGTTCTAACCCCCAAAACTCATAGTAGGTATTTTTATCTATGTTCTTAGATGTTTTATGTCTATTTGTTTATATTGCTCATGTACTACCACTTTCCTTGCATATATATAGCCAAGGAGGATCTTGAACTGTTGATATTCTTGCCTACACTTCCCAAGTACTGGGATTATAGGCATGTCCAGCCATGCCTGGTCTAAACTGGGTTTTATTTTACATATTTCTTCAAGTATGGATTGGAAGAGGAAGATGTTAATGAAGAAAGATAATATAGGATTTTTTTAAGCACTACAGGCCCACAAACTTTTGTTTGTTTGCTTGTTTTTTCAGACAGGGTTGCTCTGTAGCCCCAGCTGGCCTGGAACTCACTATATAGACCAGGCTGGCCTGAATCTCACAGAGATCCTCCTGCCTCTGCCTCTGCCTCCAGTGTTGGGACTAAACACATGTGTCACCATGCCTGACTCCCACAGACCAATTTTTAAAACTATGAAGCTAAGTCTTAGAAAAATATGCAGTCTCTATTATTATTTCTATGTTCCTGTGTAGTTTCTACAGTCTCTGGCCCCTGGCCATTCTCTAGAACTCTTCAGCAGTCTCTTGGCTGCTGAGTGAGACAAGGGCTTACAGCATCAGGAATGAATTCCCAGCTGCCTTCCAACTGCGATTGCAGCCAGATGCCTACACCTGGAAGCCCAGGGTTTCATCAGCTCTAAGTGTTATCAACTAGTCTACTGTACCCATGCTGAAGACCCCAAGTGGGCAATGAAAGACCGTTTGAAAGAAGCATTTACTAGGCCTGATGTTACAACCAAGGGGACAGAAGAAGCCTCCTGGATTAAGCTGAGAAGACTGAGTATTAGCCTGCTTATATAGGTAGGAAAGGGTGCATGACACTCTTATGCTGGAATTATAATTCCACCAATCACAGCCTTATATATTCAAAACTTCTAGTTCCACCAATCATGAGTTTTACATATGCAGTAATCACAGGCTTTGCTCATGAATCAATCATAAGCCTCATATTATGCCCATCACAGAGTTTTTCTTCTGAGCTAAATAATTGTAGATGAGATTTTCTTGCCAGGAGGAGTAGGATCTACCAAAGCCCTGCAGGTTGCATGGAGCACTTGTAACCACAGTGAGGCCTCCTGGAGCAGGAGTAGTGACTTCCCAAGAACTATTTGTGGTTACAGGGTCCCTTACAGCTGGAGTAGACTTTCCTTGATGGGATGTGTCCCTTTGAAACAGCTCGATAGCCTTGAGGGCAGTCAGACTGACTTGTTGCCAAAGGGACTGCTTGGCTAAAGGAAGGGTAATGGTCTATCAACTGTTATTTGAGGGGCCTAAAAACTTACTCCCAACACTTTGCTCAAACACCCAAGCATTAAAGGGTGTTTACAATAAAAAAAAACAAAGAAATTAACATTCTTTGTAGTATTTGGGCATTGTGGCTCATGCCTGTAATCCCAGTAATTGGGATGCTGAGATAGGAGGATTGCTACAAGCTGGTGGTCAGCCTGGGTTACATAGGAGTTCAAGACCAGCTGAGGCTACAGTGTGAGATCTTGTCTCAAAACAAAAACACCACCAAAACAAACAAGCTAATAAATTTTTTAAAAACTACCCTTGGGGCTGGAGAGATGGTTCAGTGGTTAAGAGTACTGGCTGCTCTTACAGAGGACATGGATTCTGTTCCCAGCACCCACATGGTGGCTAACAACTGTCCATAACTCCAGTTCCAGGCCCTCTTCTGGCCTCTATGTATTGCATGTATTTGGTGCTCTTACATACATGCAGGTAAGACATACACATAAAATAAAAATAAATAAAACAAAAATTTTAAAAACTACCCTTAACCATGTGTCCCTAGGGAGGGTTTGGCCCTTCTAATCTGTTTTATCTATTGCCAAGAATCAATTGGATGTTTGGTTAAAAATACAAAACACAAAATCATGCCTCTAACCCCTAAGAAAATCAGAATCCCTTAGAGATGGGATCCAGGAATCTGCATTCCTATCAACCCCCTCCCCAAATTATTCTTTTTTCTTCTCAGATAGATAGATGACTAGATGATAGATAGATAGATAGATAGATAGATAGAGATAGATAGATAGATAGATAATAGCTATTGAGTGAGACAAGCTTTTGTGTACATCCCTGGATGAGGCTGGCCTTGAACTTCTGATCCTCTTAGCATTCATCTCCTAAATACTGTGATTACATGACATGGCACTCCAAAATGTTTCTTTGAACAGGTTCATATGTAGCTCACATTGACCTTGAAATCACTATCTATATACAGTGGAGGTTAGCCTTAAACTCCTGACTCACTTGTCTCTACTTCCCCAGAGTGCTGGATTACAGATGTTCACCACCCTGCCCAGCTCCACAAATTATTCTGGATTTTGTGCAGCCAGCTAAGGTGCCAACATCTCCCTTTTCAAAGATGAGGGACTTCTATTGTTTTATCTGATTTGGGTTTCACCTCATGCATCTGGTGTCAAAATACAGGACTGAACCTAGGGGAAAAGAAAGAGGCAGAAGGCAAGGGTGGAGGGAAAGAGTCCCAAACTCTGGGATAAAACGTAAAATAGCTCTCTAACCACACAGAACAGCGCTTGCTACCAAGGCCTGTTGCGCATCCCCGGCCCCCGCAGCGCCCCTCGGGCACTGGTTCCCACCCCCAGACTGCGCCAGAAGTCCGCCCCCGCACTCCACTGATTGGCTCTACTGGCCTGCACATCACATTCTTTTGTGTCAGAAGGCAGTTGATAAAAGCCGCCACAGCTGCCCTGATAACAGCGCTGTCTGTCTGGATCCCACTACCCCTGGCTACGTGGTGGTGGGAAGCAGTTCTTTCTGGCAGCCCGGAGTCGCCTAGCGGCTCAGGAGGCGCCAGTCTTTTTCTTCTGCAGGGCTGAGGGGCCAAAAGGCAGAATCCATCGCTGTAGACATCGTAACAGCTGGGGGCCATCAGTGGATAGCAGGTAAAAAAAAAAAAAAAAAAAAAAAAA